AGAATAATTGCTTTTATGTGATCCTCTAAAAAACTGGTAAAACCAGGTTGAAAAAGTAAAACTCAGCAAAAACATTTAAGGGAACTTTTCAAAGTTGTGGCATAAGCATACTGGAAGCAGATTTGACAATAAGACTCAACATGTGAATAAAGTGCACGTTACACAGACTACAACTACAAGAAGTTTTGAACGAAGCAATGTCGCCACGATAATAAATAAGAAAAATAAACATCGGCACATAAAAAGACTTCCAGCTCTACTTTGTGCCTTAAATCATTGCACGCACCGTACATTAATTTGGCTGAACGTTAGAACATCTTAAGCAGTATCAGTGAAAGAAGCTTGGTGCAATGGGTTTATGAGTTACTAAGGGGAGATGAAATCAGGGGAGGGGCGGGATGTCCAGATTTCTTGGTAGTTAAGTATATCCTCGTAAATATCACTTTTATAGAAAAATTATTAGAATTGGTTCGGTTTATTTTGTTATGGCAATGCGACACGTGAACGATCTGCCAATGATGATGCATCCCGGAAAGACTTATGTAAAGTTGGCTCTAATTTAAGCGTTACTAACACGAAGAAAACCAGAAAACTCCACGTGGCCAGTCCGTTGGCCATACGTGAACCCACGACCGACTACCTGTGTCCGGTGGTTTTATCCACTCGGTTACTGGAGGGTACTTATTGGGATGCAATTTGAAAAAAATTATAGATGTTGTGAATTTGTCTCTTTAATCCGATTTTCAGTTCGGTAGACTATCATATACAGCATTCAGGTTATGAATTTCCTTTATTGATTTGTTATAGTGTTATAGTGTTATAGTGTTAAAGTGTGCAACGTATTAATGTGAATATGTAGTTGAAGTGTTTTTTAAATGGCTGTATTTTTATTCTTTTACAACGTTACCAATTATACACCGAAGTTTTTAGAAAACAGAATCTGAGTTTGTACTGAAGAGGGACTTAAATTACAATTGAGTCCGAAATGCATATAACAAATCAATAAAGGAAATTCATAACCTGAATGCTGTATATGATAGTCTACCGAACTGAAAATCGGATTAAAGAGACAAATTAACAACGAAAATAGCAGCAGCCATAAGTGATTTTCTGGAAAAATTGTAGAATTATAAATTTCCACTGTCGTCCACCCGTCTCTGTCCTTTCTTAATCTGGAGAACAGAGTTAGATAAATGAAAGTCGAGACCAGTCATGAAAATTGTAAGAGAAAGAGGACCAGATTAACTATATATGAACTTCCGATTTGTACCGCAAGTCACGTTATTTCAATTCAAAAATTTTAGATACATGGGCCGACTCCATTGCTAACAGGAAAAGTATGACGTACAGGGGTAAAACGTTACTACGTGCAGGCAAGTGCTATGTGTTATCTGTCGTAGTAATGGCGCGTCTATTTCGCGCAATATCATTGTCATAGTAATTAAGTGAATATGAAAAATATTTTTAAAAATTATATCCTTTTTTGTAAGAATTATATTTAGTTTATTATTTTATTAATTAAATATTTTGCCAATAGATATGGCGCTACATGCAAAGCCAGCATAATCGAATGTAGACAGAAATGAATTGATATACAGAAACCCAATCAATAATTTAAGATGGGATGTAGCCTACAACAATATCTAAGTTAGAAGTATATGAACATAACTGCTCAGTTTAGTAACAATTGGTCGAAAGTTCTAGGTGTGCATAGCGAACAAACAAACTTTTTTTACACGTTTTAAATTTTTAATAACGAAATAAATAATAATATCGAAGAATTTTAAGCTTTATAGTTAAAAAAAACTGTATATACTAGGTAGTGTATAAAAATTTAACTTAAAATACTGTAATACAGTAGCTTTGTCTTTACATTAAAAATTGCTTCATACCGAAAGTGAAAAGATTGAAAATTTTCAATTAAATAAAGTATTTAATTTTATTAAAAAATAACATTGTGCTGTAGTTCTATCTAGAATTTAACCACTTGTAAAAAAAATGAACTCTTGTAGTTGTGTAGGACTTGATTGAAGGCTCTGCTACCATAATTTTATTAGTATCATTGCATCCCAGAACTAATGGGTATGAGGAATTCAATGGGGATCCGGCATTTCTTTCATATAATGGTTAATACGGAGTGTGCAGCTCATATAGGCTATTTACTCCATGTGACTAGAATATGGAAGCATGCGTCCGATTAGCCGGCCATTAGATGAAATGGCCATACGCGCGCGAGGGAAATAATGCCTTCCGGGAGGTCTTTTAAGGGAAACTGGCTTTTATTCAGGCGTTACAGACGTGGAGAAAATCCTAAAAACTCCACGTGGCTAGCCTGTACGGGCGAGGGGTGAATCCACGACCGAACATCCCAGTAGTTCAGGGACAAAAGACCGCTTGGCTACTAGCGATCCTTCCCGGTATTTAATGATAATAATAATAATAATTTATTTTTAAGAATATTTATTTGTTTATATTATTATTGTTTTCCTTCTGAACAAAGTTTGTTGATTTAAAAAACAGTTCATTTTTTATATTTTTCCTTACAAACATTTACATTCAAGAGCATTAAAGGCTTCCCATACTGTACTATACAGAGGCCAATCTTGTATAGAAATGAAATAATATACTTAATAACGTTAATACAAAAGTTATTATTTAATTATATTCGATAAAACTATAACTTAAATTGTTGCATATGAATATAAAATATTTTAATCATTAGATACCTGTATTTTAAATTGTTATCGATAATACCTATTTATTTTCAAAAAAGGGAGATGAATGGTTATCTACAGTTATATATTCAACGGTATTGTATTTGAAATTGCGCATACATCTTCATCTTTACGTAGTAATTACTATATGTATTTATTTTTCATTTCGGTGTGAGTAATTTTTTGTTTGCACATATTTAACAGTGGAAGTTTCTCTACGCACAATTTTCGTGTGGGCTTTATTCTTGTGTTTTTTGCATAAAATCAGTAATGCATTACATTAACGATGTTTCTGTGAGAGAAAGCTCATCATATGGCGTCAAGTAGGGTTACCCCATGCAAAAATGGCAGATTTTGTCTATTGGTAACAGCGTAGCGTTAAATTTAGAATTCAGAAAATGACTATCCGATCAATTATATCGGCAATTAAGCGATGTTTTCACTTCCGATATTACATTTTTATCATCGCTTTTCGCTTCGCATTTCCGGTTTCGATTCCGATCTTTATTAGCAGCCTGCTTGTGTTTTTCTATCACTTTGCGAACGTTGAGTAGCGTTAGCTTTTGTTATGTGTTTACTGTTTATGATAATTATGTATGTTTCTGTTGCTTGCTTCGATGGTTAGACTGTATATTGTAACAAATAAAGTGTTTATTACAATATAAAATAACAATTGTTTAATAAGGAATTAGAAAAAAAAATCAGTTATCGTGAAGCAAAGTTTAAAGAACTTGCGTACACATTGGGATTGGTTGGAGGTGTTTTCATTTTGGAATTTTACAGTAGCCTAAGCAACGATAACATGAAGTGGCGAGCAGGACTATCTAGAAGAGCGCTGGGAATTTTCTCCGGGCTGAAAAAAAATTAAGGGTCTCATAGTAGTTTCTATCCCTACCAAATTAATGTTATTTTTTGACAAAAAATAAAATCTTTAAAACTGCTTTTTATTAACAAAGAAACATTTTATTTCATTTGTTCAAAATAAATAAATAAATCAAATAAAGGCGCTAACAAGTAAGAGACAGAAGTTCACTCTACCCACGGGTTTATACAAGCTCTCGACGGCCCTGGTTGCGAGAATCGAATGTATTATGTACGGTACAAATTATAGTTTGAAAAATATATTCAGTTCAATAAAATCCAAAATATAAATACAGTACAAGGAAGGTATATTTTAAAAAATCTCATAAATAAAATCTGCCTATAGCTAGAACTACTGCTAAGTTTCATTATATTTTAAAATAATTTCTTATGACAATTGAAATGTTTTTAAAAGTTAATTTATGATTTGTTTCCACTAAAGCCGCCCAACGTGACCTTCTAGTTTATCAGAAATAGCTTTAGGGCAATTTTGATATGTCGTATTCATATAATAATTGATTTGGTCTAATTAAAAAGCCGCTCGTATTTTACACAAACAAACCTACACAATGAATCTTGCATTAATCGAATTATTATATTTCATTATTATTTATTTTGCAAAAACGAATAATAATAGCCCGGTCATTCTCGACCTGTTGCTTTATCCTCGACCATAAGGAAAACTTTTCGGGTATCAATGTGAATACGTTATTGGCAAATATAGTCGTTAATGTAGGTCAGTAATGATGTAGAAATTTTTATCTGCCTCATTGTGATTAATACAAGACACAGAAAAAGTTTTACCTGGTTTTCCTCACTCCGGTGAGATCTAAAACGCATTTCTTAACATCCGAAATAATAATTTTGAAGATAATTCTTAGAAAAAAAAATTAGTATTTCGTTAGCAGAATAGTGAAGCAAAAGTAGTTTTTTTTTTTTATAAAGACAAGTTTACGACTTCTAATAATAGCCACAATAAAAGTTTATCATACTTCCGTTTATGCAAAATTATGGAAACTTTTAAATAAAATTAAAATAACGTTTATATTTAGCAATTAAACGAATTTATAGAACAAAGGTTCGAGAGAGGAAGTTCTTTTATACAAAAGTGACATTTTTTTTCTCTATATCTACTATTGCTAAGCTCGCGTGTATAGAATTAACTTAGTGGAAATAAATGAATTTCTTTGTAAAATAAATGAAAGCCGATCAATATTTTATAATAATTTATTAAAAGTGTATGTAAGTAATCATCAAAAGGCGTTACGTTAATAATGACGAGAGATTTTTGTAACGATAAATAGAAGAACTTTTGTGAAAATATTATCGATCTGGCCGTAGGTCAACAATAGATAATGTTCTCTCCCACCGGATATGACGGGGAGGGGTCTTCTCAGATCACGTGACGAGAACGGAAATCTCCCACCTGCCAGTGCAGCCAGCTGGAACCACAACACGAATGGGTGTGCTATCCACAACTCTCATTTAGCTGCAGTCTGTAGTGAGTAGAGCTCACTATCAACTTGCCCTCCTAAGGATTCTTATCTAAACTATCGCTTTCTATTTATTTACCGAATAGAAAACGATCTGCTGGATCGATTAGAAGTGCTGTAATATATGTAAAGTGAAAAGAGTTCGTATACAATAAAACTCAAGGAGTCTATACAGGTAAAATGTTTATTTATTTTCGCACTTTCTAATGTTAGAATACGTTGTTTCTCAATGTTTTTGATTATGAGAAAACTTGTTTATGCATACTGAATAATAAAAATATAATATTTTATTTTTATATTAGAAATTATTATTTTTAACATTCGAAATAATAGATTTTGAAAGCAATATATCAATCTGTTAAATGGCTGTAGTGTTGCAATTAGACTGTATTAAAACTTAAGGCGATATTGAAACAATATTATCAATTGTTTACGTTGAACTTTGTTTCTTTCAAAATTTCTCTATTATTTAAATTTGTTTTTAGGGATATAAATTTAACTTTATATTTTTTAAACACGAGAATAATTTTAAAATGAAGCGCACGTTGTTTTTTTTTTTTAAATTCTCTTTTCTCGCGATGCGAAACAAATGGCAATCACGTGACACCCACTAGTCTCTGGACTGGGGAAACGACCCGATTCGTTATAAAAAGTTCCGAAATACTGTAGTTAAAAAAATAATATAAAAAGGAAAAAACAATAGGATTTTATTCATTTCTCATACCTGTTAATTAAATTGGGTCAAAGGACAGAAAAGGTTTGATGAGAAATTAGAAGAGGAAGTTCTTTTGAAAGAAAAGGACATTACGTCACCGGAATCATCCGAAATTTTATGGTTTCCTTTCTAGAGTCCCGTCGCACGTCACTGAATAAGAATGATAATCACATAGATGAATACTAATTTTTTTTTGTAAACAATATCAGCGAAGCATTGAAGTTAGCAAATGCAAAAATTGTTATTTTTGCGGACATATGTTTTTTAACAAGATTTCTTGGCGGAAATCACCTTGATTTTACGTCGTCCTTGAGAATATTGAACACTGGTTTGTGAATAAACATGTCTTTGTGAAATTTTCTAAAACAGTTTCCGCACTTTTATAAAATCGCACGACCCGCGACACATACAATATTCTTGTTTTCTCGATTACGCAAGTTTTGCGAAAGTTTTGTTACGTATATTTTTAATAACTGACCCATTATAACCGTTTGCCAATAATAATAATAATAAAAGCGAACTCGTATCCAGATAACGCTAATACAAGGACATTAATTTCGGAAAGTCCGAAGGTTGTAAACAATTACAATTTTCATTTTAAAAGCAAAATAAAAGGAGTAATTTTCTGCATCAATAAAATTAGATTATAAAATCATTAAACGTGCCGTCTAAGTGTAGAACACCTGTTTGAGATGAACGAAGCGTGTTTGTTTTAACTACAGGTGTGATAGAAAATTTGAAATTTTGATCGAAGTTCTTTTTGGAACTTCATTCGGAAAAGTTTGAGAGAGTAATAGAGGGTTGCATTATTTTTAACGTACCTTCTCGAATATAGGAGCAAAGAAAACTCGTGATGAATCCATATCTTCCGTTTTTAAAGAATTGGAAGGTTTGTATGCTATTAGACTGTGAACGTTGAGCATGGTTAAACACTAATGCTCTTCATAATCTAGAATAGGTGGAGAAAAGACTCATTTGTTCCATTACTTCTGAGAAAAGAGAAATAATGATTTTCAAATAATGATTATAGGTTTTAATCTTATCCTAATTGAAAAATAATAAAATGATAGTCGATTTTGTTAAATTAAAACAATGAGACGGATCATAAGATGGACAGTTTGACTTCTCTTCCTCGTTGTTGCTCTAGCTCCTTTGTTTTTTGAACTGTAAAACGAAAGACTTGCTGCAAATAAAGTAACCCGCTTTAAATTTTTTTATACCCAAAAGTCAAGAGATACAAGTTTTTGTAATTAAATCGAATGGCGTAATTTATTTTCTAATCTGATTTTTCGATCGGTTCGTGCATTTTAATTATTAATTTGCAAGACACCGTTCGATAATTCTTTTTATGGTTCGTACTTTTTCTTGCTGGTAAACTTTATAATAATCGTCTCGACCCCGTTAATGCCATTGACTTACTGTAATGGAGCGGGAAATCTGTAGATCTTCAAAAAGAGAGGAAGTAAACGAGGCTCCAGACAGTAAACGGATGGAGAGGACATTTAACGAGATAAGAATCGATTTGGGATCTGTTCTCGATACAGTTACCGATAAGATGGCTACGTTACAATAAGCGGCGTGTCATCGACCCGTCACCGATTCAAGCCGCTAACAAGATGGGTGTGGAGGGAAAAAAGAAAAAAAGGCAGAACATTTGAAAAAAAATTCATATAAAGTGGAACAAAATTGGGAACTGTTATTACGTACGAGTCGCGTTGTATGGACGTTTGCCAATTAAACCAGCTTCTAAATGGATTCAGCAGTGCGTATCTCCGGTTCGGTCCGTTCGGGGCGTTGGACGAGTCCCCAAATCTGTACTGGGGTCATTCATCGTTGACAGTTGCTCCGCGAATGACCGATGAAGTTTTGCTTTGGCTTTCACAGTTACGGGCTTAACGGAAGAAATTAAGTCTATTCTGTTCTTTGTATTTTATTCTATAGAATATAATGGTGTACTGATATTATGGACGAAGATTACATTGAAACTGTAATACTCATTAATAAAAATAGTAATATCTTTGATGTCTATAATTAATTTATTTTATGTTTATATTAACTAAGATTCAACTCCAAAAATTGATTTTTTTTCCATTCGGTTTATCATATATTTTGAGTTAACTTTTGTGTTCACTTTTACTCTGCTTTTCAGATTCTTTAAGCAGAATTAGTTGTAACTCATAAGTAACGACATTAATATTTTAAGAATATACTTATTATAATTTTTAAACGATTTAGTGGATTATATAACAAATACAGTATAATGAAGATACAGATAGTATTTTATGTTGTACAGAGCCGTCCTTGGTTTGAATGAGGGCCCGGGTAGAGTGAGGCCCTTTATCTTTTGTATTTTGGACAAATGAAATACATAGAATGTTTCTTTATTAGTAAAAAGTAGTATTAAGAATTTCACATTCTGTAAAATAACGTTAATTTTATAGCGACAGGAATCACTAACGGCCCGTAAGTTCTCTCGGAGCCAAAGAAAATTCCCAACTCTCCAAGACAGTCCTGATACAGTTTTCATATTGAGCGACCAGTGAAAGTGGTCTATTTTGTGTTTAAAAACGATAACTGAACATACAGGATATATGCAGTTGTGAGATAGTAGAAACTGATAGAATGTTATGGGCCTATAGTATGATCTATTTACATGAATAAAATTTTAATACTAACATATAAAAAAGTAATCAAAATACATGAATATTAAATTAAATAAAGATTATTTAATTAATTAAGTATTATTTATTAACTTTCTTTCTAACCTATAATTGTTTATTTTGATTTACCAGATAAAAGATCTGGAATTACTTGGCATAAATAAATATTTGAATTTAAAATAAAGGCATTTATGGCTTTGGATATTTTAAGTTATATCCTTTAATAAAAATATAATATATGCAATCTTAATTTAAATAAAATATACTGTATTGTATAAAGAACTGACAAAATTTATCCATTTATTTGGAAACCATTGAATATTTTGAAGTTATTAACTTTTCTTTTATGACTAATTTTCTATAAAAATCAAATTCAGTTATTGATAAAAAATTTCTTTATTCATCTAAAATACATTTCCCTTTTTAAAGGATTCCATTTTATATTACCAGTAACTTTTATTTCAGTACTTTTTGCATGAAGGCCAGATGTTTTTACTTTTCTTTTTTTAACTCTTTCCACTCTATGGGCACTAAGAGGTCCTCTAGCAAGCCCATTACAGATTTGGACAGGCCCATAATGGGACAGCTGGGTAGTGAGGCATGGGGGTCCAACATATCCAAACAGACCATCCCCAAAAAATTCCTGGGAATTTTTTGACCCATCCAGATTCAATTCCGGGTCCCCCAGAGTGGTAGGTTGCTGCCACATTGATTGCTTAGCCATCTAGCCTCTGGCCAAATGGTTAAGATGGTAGCCTTTTGCTCTGGGGACTTGGGTATGAATCTGGATGGGTTGAAAAACTCCAGGAATTTTTGGGGATGGTTCTTTCACTTATGTCTCTCACCACCTAGGGCCTAGCCAAACCCATAGTGGGCTTGCTAACAAGATGTCCTCTTAGTGCCTACAGGATGGAAAGAGTAAAAAAAAAGTACTTTTTGTTTTATTTATTTATATTTCATTTTATGTTTATAACATTTAATAAATAAATTCATAAAAATTTCAAAACATGATTACAGTTTTGTATTACATATGCATTTAGATGGCAGGTGTGGATCCAGCTTTCAGAGCTATTCCCAAGAATGCCACTTATTTTGTAATATGGAGAATAGAGGTAAAAATCTAAGTTGTTAAATACAGATTACTGTAATAAATTGCTTTTTTGTAATATATTTATTTAAATAAATTTTAATTCTTAGATTCCTTAAATTGAAATCAAAATAATCTAAATCCATGCTTTCCACAGAAATATCACAGCATCTTCAAGTAAATAGCTTGAGAGTGCTGTGATGTTACCAGATAATTCTAAGAAAATCTGATGGACAGATACTATAGGAAAAAAAAGTAGATTTGAATGAAGATGTAAGACATGCCAAAATTGTATGATTATTGTAGTGATTTGCAAGATCTTGATTGGGAGCGAGAGTGTACTTCAGATAAAAAGGTGGTCTGAAATAAATGCACACTTGCCTAGTAACAAATATTGTTGTTGTCTGTATTGAACAAATACCAAAACTACTAGACAAGAACATGACAATTATTATTTGTTTTTTCATTGTATCAGTAACAATGCTGTTTCCAGTGAGCAATCTATAGTCATAATATTTTTGGTTCAGAGTATGCAAGACCATATACATTTATATTTATTATGTACCTATTCAGTTCCTCCTTAGTGTAGACCTATTGTATAATGTTATTTTGCATATACTGTAGTAGTTATTTTGGAAAAAATAATAAACTACATTATGAAAAAATAATGTGTTTTGAAACACACCTTTTAAAAATCCTGCACACAGACATGGAAGTAGATATCAGAGATCGTTACATATTACTGGGATACAGTGCTATCAAAAAGTTAGGAATGTTTTGATCAAAACTTTTCTTGAAAAAAGTATGTAAATAAATAAATTTTGAAAAAGTTGAAATATAAACATTCATAAAGAATGAAAACATGAGGAGTAATTACTGATAATTGTTTATTTTTAATTAAAACTATTCTTTAGAATATTCTTTTATATTTCTATCAAATTTTATATTTAAAATATAACTTCTTATAGAATATGCAAGTTGTTCCATTAGCAAGGGATCATTATGGTACATTTTATACAGGAGACTCATATATTGTTGTCTGTGTGAGTATGTTTGAAAAATAAAAATTATGTTCATATTAATTAATATAAAAATTAATTTTTGATCCAAATTATTATTAAAATGTTTAATATTAATTAGATAACAGAATCTGGAGAGAAAGGTGATTCTATGATGAAGGTAAAACTTTTTGAAAAATTTTAATGTTTTTTTTTATTGATTTAAAGTAAAACTAAAATGTTATAGAGGAGTTAAATGCTTATTTTATTTAGATTAGAGAAGTTAAAGGAATTTTAGATGTGCATATTCATTTTTGGTTAGGTGCTCAAACATCCCAGGTAAGGGTAGACTATAAACATATACTTGTTATAATACTTTTATTGTTTATTATTGTTTATTAAACAAGTTACTAATATAAGCTAATAAGTAATTTATAATAGGATGAAGCAGGTGTTGCAGCTTATAAGACTGTTGAATTAGATGATTATTTGGGAGGAACTCCAGTACAACATAGAGAAGTGCAAGGATGGGAATCAAAACGTTTCCTTTCTTATTTTAAAAAAGGAATTAGGTATAGTTTTCTCAAAAATATATTATACTTGATAATATCTTACTTATAAATAAGATATTTATGTTTTTATAAAAATTAGATTGTTAGAAGGAGGCATTGTTTCTGGCATTTCAAATATAAACAATAACATCAAAGCACAAATGTTTAAAGTGCGAGGAAAACAGAGACCTGTAGTGCAACAAGTATATTTGTATATTTAAATAAAAAAGATAACTTATTATATAATAAAAATATATAAAATAACATACAGTATTTTACAGTTACCTGAAATTGACTGGCAATTTATGGATGATGGTGCAGTTTATATTATTTGCATTCATTCAGTTATCTTTGTTTGGACTGGAAGAAATGCTAATGTGACTGAAAAAATACAGGTAACTATTAATAATTATATTTAGTAAGATGATCATTTAATGTAAAAACAAAATTTTGATTTTGTGAATTTTGAATATAAAAAATAAATAGGGTGTGAAAGTTGCGCAACAAATGAAACTGGAATTTGGATCTGGTACTGTTATTTTAGTAGAAGATGGGAAAGAGCAATCTTTACCAAAGATTGAAAAAGAGGTATTTTGTATTTTAATAAATAATGACGATTAACATTTTACTTTGTTAATAATTTTTATATTTTCCTAAATAAATCTTTAGAAAAGTTAATTATTTTGATTGACTTTTCAATGATTGAAAAAAAATGTGATGATATTACAGTATGAAATAAAATATATAGTTAAATAGTTATTTTCCTTTTATTCCCTGAAAGTTTATTTGATAAAATGCTATGTATAATTTATTTTTACAACTTTAAATATAAAAATTCACATTGTAAAGCTTTATTTTTTATGATGATTAATTCTTAATATGAATTCTTAATGTTTTTCAATTATAAAATATAAATATGCTGGAAAGAATTTATTAACAATCAGACATAATATTAGAAAAAATAATAATGAAAAATAAAATGTACAAATTTAATGAAATGCAATATTAAAATGTTAAACGCTTAATTAAACTTAATTAAATATTAAAAAGACAAATACATAAGAAAGTAAATTTATAAACAGGAAATAATTGGTATTTAAATAAAGTTTCATACTCTTATCAAACAATCTACTGTATTTATATTTATTTCTTATTATTATTATTTCAAAATCAAATAGGATAAAATTAAAAAAAAAACATGTTTTCAATAATGCAAATTTAAAATTTAAAGAACTTTAATTAGTTTTTAAAGTAATAAATTTTGTTTTAAAATTTTAATTTATTTAGATACATAAAATTAAATATCTTTTATTTATTATAATTTAAGATTTTTTATATTATTATATAATCAAAATTTGTATATAATAAATTTCTATTTAGTAAATTTATGTTTTTGATAAAACTTGATTTTTGCATGAAATTGTCTACATATGAAATGTTTATTTACTGAAATGTTTCATTTTGAAGACTCAATTTAAAATAAGCACTTCAATTTTGATAAAATAATATTCTTATAAATTTTTCCAAATTATAATTTTTATTTATAAATTACTGTAGATTTATTGTTTATGGAATTTATAGTTTATAGATAAATCTATAAACTATAAATTTATCTATAAATTATTATAAAACATATAAATTAATTTAATAGGAAATTTGAGTAGTTTGGTATATTGGTAGTTTTCAAACCAGTTATTTAAGTAACAAATATATTTTGTTTAGACAAAAATGTTCTGGAAACATTTAAACAAGAACTTTTCTTAAGATTAAATGGTCAAGGTTCATAGAAAAAATTTTAACCTTAATGAAAAGATTCTTGTTTGGATCCCTCTAGAACAGCAATTTCCAACCTTTTTTTGGCTTGCATACCCCTTGGCAGCCCATTTTCTAAGTTTTATATCACATTTCCCATTTTTGCTGTTTTATTTTGCATGCTCATCAAACTGGTACCATGGTCAATTATACAGTGTTGTACAGTCAGTCAGTCAATGTATTTTATTGGTACTAAAGTACATGCCCTGGCCCCGCAAGAAGCATTACCAGGGCTTGAAAACAATAGGTATGATTACAATGAACAATAACTACAATAGAAGAGTTTGTACAAAAGATTCTAAGAGTGAGCAAGAAAATATAGGGTAAACCTACATAAAACGTCCGAAAAGGACGCCACACACAGTTCGCGTGTAGTGTACAAAATATAAAAAATGCATATTTAAACGTCCGAAAGGGACGCCACACATAGTTCGCGTGTAGAAGTACTGCAGGAAGAGGCACCATGGTGCCGGAGAGACGATTAGCTGTGGATGGTGTTATAGTTTACACTGTAGATCCTTTTGGCAAAGTTTTTGAAGGCTTTGTAGATTTCTTTGTTTAACCAGATGTCGGGATGCTTACACGGCCAGGGTATGTTGAAGTGGTCTAGTAGAAGACTAAACTCGAATCTTTCTCTTTCAAAAATTATGCAGTTGTACAGGTAGTGTTCTGGACCATCCCTGACGTTGCACACGGGGCATACATCAGTGTTGCCATTTGCAAACCTCGCAAGGTAATTAGCAAATTTCCCATGTCCGGTTAAAATTTGATTGACATAGAAGTCAGGGGTGTACCACCTTATAGCAAGGTACTGCTGTAAGTCAGGAATAAAGTTATGGGTGACATGCTGCATGATTTGATCCCAGTCGGATTGCCAGTGTTGTACAGTGTCAGACCAAAGCATGCTGCGAAGGGTTCGTTGGCTTATTTTCCTGTAGGCTATCTGGTTCTTATCCATTGTAGTGGCAGTTTTGGCAAGAGAGTCGGCCCTCTCATTGCCAACCACCCCCTGATGGGCTCTGACCCATGTAATTTGGATTTTGCACGAAGACATCCGCAGCGCATTCCTGATGTATTCAGCCAGCGGGTGTAATTTTGGGCTATTAATGAGCCTGTAGGCCGAAAGGGAATCGGTATGGATGGTGGCAGTGATATTATCGTAGTTCCTATTAATGTGCTCGACGGCTTTCCAAATGGCAAAGAGTTCTGCCTGGAACA